AGCCAAAACCCCTCTGTCAGATAAGCCGCGGCCCACAGTCTCCTCTTCTTATACATCCGTCTCAACCATGTTACTGTTTTTTCCGACTGCCATCTTTTGGTAAACGCGTGCCATCTCTCCTCAACCGTGGCCGTGGACGTGCTGTAGTACAAAAGGGTTCAAAACTCCTTCAAGGACTTGGGACTGAGGTGAATCTTCATATTTTTTTCTATATGCCACGTACATATACGGTGCCACACGTCTGGCAAGACTTCACGAATTGCCTTGATCATCGCAGCGTCGGCATCTGTGATTACACTCTTCGGCATCTTTTGACACATGGACCTCAAAAAAGTCTGCAACAGCCACACGTATGTCTGTTCGGTCTCGTCCAAAACTATGGCACAACCAAAAACAGTGGTCTTCAGGTGATTGTTAAGACCAACAAAAGGTATGAATGGCATACCATAGCGGTTCATCTTGTACGTGCAGTCAAATACAAGCACGTCGCCAAAGTCCTAATAGTCATGACGAGACTGGGAGTCACACCAGAACATCCTATTCAAGTGTCCTTCCTTATCTAGCATGTACTCGAAAAAGAAGCTAGGATCCCTCTGTTTCCTACTGGTCATGATGCCTATGGCTGTGGCAACATCACCTTTTGAAAGCAGCTTCCTCTTCTCCCTGGCACAAAGGTTGTATATTTCACGCCTGGTAAAACCAACACCGACATACCATACATGTTTGCTGATGAGGCAATCCATCATGTCGTGAATTCTAATCCCTGCAGCTCCCATGGACATTATCTCATGCTTCTGAAACTCTTTGATTTTTCTGTGGGACCAAAGAAAAGGTACCTCGTCCGGTCCTGCCAACATATGGCTATACTTGTCCTCAAAACTTGCAACATACCAAACCCCACGCTTTTGGTCAAGCTTGACTGTCAGGTGTGCTTCGCAAAAGCAGCGTGTCTGGGCTCTGAGCCGACGGCTGTGCCCTTCCTCGGTTAGCAACTTGCTATCACGTTTCCCTTATCTGGAACAAAAAAACTTCCTATAACGCATAAGATGTGCCTCGGTTTTGGTATACCTGACCTTATTCTTCCTAATGCTGAAACCATTAGCTCTAGCATAGCTGTTGTAGAAATCATACGCAGCATCGTGAGTCATAAAAGTCATGTCCATTATCTGCATGAACATATCCCTCCTATCATCTGCACTGGCAGTATCTTGGACATTCATTACCCCACCATCTTCTGTCACCTACACAATCAAAACATAGCCATGAAAACTGTTTTGTATGGTTTAACATTACTTACATCCATAGAACATTGATTACACACATACCTCACTCATGATGACCGACGACTCGGACTCCCCAGAACCAGGTGCATCTAATGATTCGTCGTTAAGGTCTGTCTCCACGTCGGATTCACCGTAATAGTCGTACGCATTATGACATTCGGAAATAAACTGAAAAATACAACACAAATACATAATTACTTATCATATAATGTTCCAGAAGAAATTCAATTTGCATGCCAACAAAACGTTTCACTTACGTACCTGACTAATGAAATCTCCATTCCAGAGCTCCGAGTTGTTTTCCTGATCATCATCAAGCTCATCCATCTATAAATTTTCAACACAAAGATTAAATGTTGTCAGATGCCACCAAAAAATTACAACATGACAATGCCACGCACATTAAGATCGTCCCATTCGTTCCCATTCTCTGACCGATCTTGACGATCTGAATTTTCATCATCTGACCAATCTTCTATCCAGTCTTTCATCAGTTCTCCAAACTCCATGTCTACCATGATATCAGTTAACTCCTCGTCTGCCATTTCCTACAACCAATAATATGTATCATCACATGTGCAAACATTATCAATGATGAAATATAAAACACATAGCACATGATCACGGATGTTGTGTAAACAACCACAACCGAGGCCGTTCAGATCTGCCAAACTTAGTAAGGAAGATGGCCACGGCACCCGTCGAGATCACTTTCAATCGCGAGGAACTGCACGATCTCAAAACCTAGCTAGATCTGTGATTACCTCTGCCGCCGGATACCTAGGTTAGCCGCCACATCAATTAACGATCCACATGGTGCACACAACCGACGGCAACCGACGCTACGTGAACCCAGATCACGAGGAGCAGCACTACCGAAACAAGATCCACTATCGCATGCGCCGCCGGGTAGCTAGGTTACCCGCTCCGCTAGGTTAACCACTGCCACTGGCGCGGCGGCAGTTCGTTCGATGTTGCCGCGAGCAAGACTAGAGGGGGGACGCGGGATGCGGTACCTGTGCGCGATCGTTGGAGATTCACGACGTTGTCGCGCCCGCTGTCCGACGAGATCGCCGGCGACGAGATAGCCGCCGGCCGGTGGAGATCTACTACGTGACTTATGGAGCTGCGTCAATGCTCACGAGATTGATGGAGCTGCTCGCGTGAATGATTGGATTCGGCAGGTCTTACGTGGACGTGGGGTCGTGTGATGTTTATTTTTTGGACCAGGGTACTGTATGTATACGGTCTGGGTTATACAGGGCTAGACAGGGCTTGGATCTGGGCTGCGGCGGGCCAGGAAAAAAACAAATTCGCGGGGACAAAAATACCCCTCCGAAATTAGGTTAGGGGGGAGCACCGGAGCAGGCCTCGCCCCAGATGGTCCAGTGGTGCATTACAAAGGTGTGATCATGTGATATTTGTGATGTTCTATACACTAATTGGATACAACTGACATCTTTTCTTCTCCTTTTGAGTTTCTCTTATCTCAGGTTTGATCTTCTAATTGAACGGGTGAAATTCACGCACTTGGATGCAAGGATTTGTGATGTGCTTAGATCGATAATCTAATTATTAGGCAATACATGCCTATATTTGTTTAGAAATATACTTTAAATCTGGTTAGTTTCTCTTCGCCTGCTCGACGAAACTTGGATTACGCATCAAGTTTGAAAAGTTGTCTTATCCCGTACAAAGGTTAAGATTTTCCTTTAGTGTTTATGCCTCTAGGAATAGGATACTGTAGCTATCGAATGTAACACTGAGCAAAATTAAGTTTTGAGTCGTGGCAGAGGGAGGAGAGGAGGGAGTGTGTGCGGGTGAGACAGAGGTTGAAAGAGAGAGAGAGGGAGACAGAGGGTGGGAGAGAGTTGGAAGGTGATAGAGTAGACAAAGTGGTGAAGCAGGAGACAGATATGCACTCTATTCATAGGTGCAATATGAGGAATGCCCGTGGCAACGCACGGTCATTCTACTAGTATTTAAAATTTCTGAATTAGGGTAATACATTATAGGAATTTTTTAGAAGAAATATTTTATAAAAAGAAACTTCTTACAGCTCTTCAAGAAAACCAGAAAAGGAATCCCGTTCTTATAATGGAAATGTTATCCTTGACAGCTGTTATAGCCAGGTGTGTCTGACTTTTGCTGATCCGTGGTGTCAGTACAGTCCTGTCCAGTACACCAATGGCAGCACAGAAAATGTGACGAAATTAAAGATGCGTGACAAAGGTTCAATGCCTCATGATTAATGATAACGATGGAGCACTGAACATGTCGAGGATTCAGAGCTAAGCGTACTCTTTCCTCATCATGATGGCTAGGTCATTCTCACAGGTGAGTCAGTACCATGCTGGTATTTGCATTTCCATGCCCATTTAATTTAATATAATTATGGCCGCCTAACTAAGCTGTTGAATATCTGCTTATGCATCCCATTTTCAATTTTCATCGAACCGGCTTAAGCCTAACTGCACATAATCTGCATGTACAAGAAGCAAAGTGCAGAGATTAACTCATGCCTTCAGTACATGTGTCAAATATGAGTACTGCTACAAGAAAATCCCTTCATCTTTGGAGTCAAAATTGAGACCATATGGATATAATTAGCACATGAAAATGAGACTCTGTCTCCTGTCTACAAGTGGCAGCAGCTAGGTAGCAAGCGCACAGGCACATTTTCATCTATTTCTTTCAGGAAAGAATAACTAATGCTGCAGCTTTAGGATTGGTGTGAGATTAGTCATAGAATAGAGCCGAGGGCAGACAGGTCAGCCGAGTTGAATAGTATGGCAAAGGGGACAAAGTGTCAAGCCATCTCACAGCTCATCCCAGGCTGTGCCCCCTTGATGGCCTGCACATCCCTGCCCATTCAAATCTCTGTCTGTCGCTGTTTGGTAGCTGCAGGCCGGCCGGCTTGGCTTGGCCTGGCTTGGGTTGAGTCAACCTTGCCCTTGATTGCCTCCTCTTTTCTCCAAGGACTTGAGGCCACCAACTTGATTCACTCATCCGTCTCTGTCCTGAGTCAACCTGCTTGTCAACCATCTCAAGGTTGCACACCCCAAAACTTTTGGTCATCTGAATCTTGATTCCTCAAACAGCTGGATGATTTGCAGCACAAGCTTTGGTCACCTGAATCTTGAACGGGTTGATGATTGGAACCTGCTTGTCCACCCCAAAACTTTGGACATCTTAATCCTGAAACACAGCTCTGGATGATTTTGCAGCACAGATTGTGGGCACCTGAATCCTGAAATAGGCTGCTGATGATTGCAAGTTGCAGACATCAACAAATTAGTGCCTGTTGATCCCAGGAGGAGAGGATCATGATCATGATCCAATGGAAGCAAGACAATTTTAACGTGATGCTGCTGATGATGATGATAAGGGCTGACAAATTCTCCAATCTTTGAACCGTTCTTCTTCCTATTTTTTTTGTTCTTTTGGGAGACAAATCCTTGACTCTGTCTTTTCTTTTTTTCCTCTTTCAAGTTTCAACAGATAACACATTCTCTTCTCTCTGCTGTTGAGCATCAAGAACGAAGAGCACTAATCAATCCAAAAAAGTTAGTTTTTACAGCCAAACCATACATCTACATACACAAAAGAAGATCACAGGCGGTGGAGTGATCCAAATCAAAGAATGGTACAGTTGAGCAGAGAAAAGTTGATTCTTTTAGCCCAACAAGGCAGTCCTAATGCAGCGCCGTCCTCTGCTCAGAAGGAATGGGGCTGCTGCGCCGGCGGGCCGGAGGCGGACCCGGCGGTGCTGCGCGCGCTGTGCTCCATGCACCGCACGACCTCGGCGCGGCTGGCCACGACGCGGTGGAACACGGCGCGCACCTGCCGCTCCAGCGGCGCGAGGCCGTCCTCCAGCGCCCGGCACGCGCCGGCCAGCGCCTCTGCGCGCTCCACGACGTCTCCGGCGCGCTCCTCGCTGATGGACGCCGGGGCCTCCACCTCCGCGGCCTCGTCCTCCTCCTCGGCGATCTCCTCGAGCAGGCTGTTGAGCTCCCGCGCGGCGCGCTCCACGGCCTGCATCTCGGCGAGGAGCCCCGCGGACGCCGGCGAGGACGCCCCGGAGGACGACCCCTTCTTGTCCCTCCGCCTCGACTCCTCCACGATCCGCTCCTGGATGGCCGTCATGGGCGCCGCCCACTGCGCCTGCTTGGCCGGCGCGACGGGGGCGGCCGCGGAGGCCCTGTCCTGGCAGGGCACGGCGGCGACGAGCGCCCACATGGCGAACACGAGGACGGAGCTCATGGTGTAGAGCGCCAGCCCGAGGCCGCCCCCGGCGCCGGGGGCGGCGGCGGCCTGCGGCGGCGGCGCGAGGTGCGCCGCCATGGCGTGCACGTGGCGCCCCGTGGACCAGTTCTTGGACGAGACGCTGAAGGAGAGCGCGCGGGCGGCGCGCGAGCTGCAGGGCGTCGTCGGCGCGGCCCTGGCGTCCGGGAAGAGCCTGGAGATGGCCCGGCGCGCGCGCGCGAACTGCGCGCGGTGCAGCAGCGGCGCGCCGGCGGCGAGGAGGCAGGAGGCGGCGGTGAGCGCGGCGCGGTGGGAGCCCCGGAGCGAGGCGAGCGCGAGGGAGAAGGCGTTGAGCGCGTCGAGCGCCTTGACGGAGCGGTCGAGCAGGTCGGCGGCGAGGCGGTCGGCGGGGGCCCTGGAGAGCGCGGCGCCCACGGGGCCCACGGCGAGGGCGTCCCGGAACGCGGCGTCCGAGGAGACCACGGCGTCGAGCAGCTTGGAGAGGAACGCCAGCGAGAGCAGCGGCCCCTGCTGGCTCTGGGCCGCGGAGGAGGAGTGGGCGGAGAGCGCGGCGAGGCGGTCGGCGACGTGGGCCTGGAGCGCGTCGAGGACGAGCAGCTCGTCGTCCTGCGCCGGGTCGAAGGAGGCGACGGCGGTGGCGCCGCGGCGGAAGCTGAGCAGCCCCAGGAAGCCCATCCCGCCGGTGGGCGGCGGCGGCTCCGCGGCGGCCATCCTCGCGCTCGTGGTGGGCTTTGGGCCGGGCCTGGGCCTGGGCTCTGCGGATATCTTGGTCGGAGTGGAGGGGAGGGAGGGAATGAATGGTGGGGAACCGCTGCTGGAGCACCGGCCATATATACTGCGAGGCAGACGGCCGCGGAGGGGCAGCTCCGTCCACGAGCCTCACTTCCCTTCACGCCAATGACATGTGGGTCCGCTTATCGCACGGGCCGTCCTGTCAGTCAGACAGAAGAGGTGGCGTGCTGGTGCGGCGGGGTTCTTGTGGGGGATGGTGGACCGGTTCGTTGGCTGACTTGGTTGGCTGCCACTACTGGATGGACCCTGTGTACTCCTCTCCCACATTTTCTCCTCCCTTTTTTTTTCTTATAACCAATACTTATGTTTGCCAGATTTATTCCGTTAATGAATATTATCTCTATGATCTCACCGATTTGGTCTCATAAATTATCATCCTGATTTCATCCCGGCGCGGATTTTTGGGATATGGTTCTGGGCGCACCCGATATAAGATTTTAATTTAAAAACAACCAAACGATTCTGCAACATTTTTGGGCAAACATGGCAGAGTGTTAACTCACATACGAATTTTCGCCAACAAAATGACTTCAATGTTCTTATGGACGGAAAAACAAAACTACAACGTATATAAACTTGGATAATAACTCATATATATAACCGATTTTGTTTGTGTTTTTCGCTGTTAGACTTTTTTTAATTTTATTTTTGAGTTTTGTTCGGTCTAGACCCTGGTTCATTTGGGTATTTCTGGATTTCATCCAGTCTAATTTGATTTGAGAAAACCAGGCTCTCTTTTGGCAGCTCTTGCCTCACTAGAAACTCCATAAACACCATTGCAGATGGGATGAGTGCAGGACATATATGTATGTATGTGTGCATCATGATTCTTGAAAGCCAGCACTTAGCAGAGGAGATGAACATGTGCATGAGAGATGCAGGACATAGCAGGGCAGAGTGGCCGACTACATTGGATGGAAAGATGGGGCCAAGTACATGGGGCACACACAGCGATTTGGCAAGTACATGAGGCTCCCATAATATTCCCTTGATGAATATTATCCGTATGATCCCAGCGATTTGGCTCCATAAAGCACCCTGGTTTCATCAAAATTAATTTGGTTCAAGATTAAAAAAAAGACTCTCTGCCTCTGTCCCCGTAGCCTGAAACCCAGTCGTGAGCCGAGGAGATGGAAATATGGGAGCCTCTGTTTGAAAGAAAGAAAAATGAAGATATGAGACCCTGAGCGTGAGGTGCAAGGAATGACATGGCAGAGTGACGCGGAAAGGACGAGCTGGTGCAACATCTGATGGGAATGGATTGCGGCCAAATGCATGGGACACACGTACACAGCACCACGAGACAGGGTGCAAGCGCAACTGTGCATTAGGGCATCTCCAAGGCAGACCCGCAAACCGCCCGCATCCGTCTGGATCGCGAAAGCCATCCAACGCAAGTCTGTGTCTGTCCTCGGGCGGTCCGGACGCATTTTCTCCCGTAAATTGGAAACGAAGTGGGGGGAGGTTTGCGGCGGTCCGGACACCCGAAAAGCAGGACTCCGACACCCGCGGCCCACCCAATCCCCCCTCCCGGTCCCATTTCCTCCTCCCTTTTGTTAACCCACATTCATGTTTGCCAGATTTGTTCTCTTAATGAATATTATCTGTGTGATCTCACTGGTTTGGTTTCATGAATTATCCTGATTTCATCCCGGTGCGGCTTTTTGGATATGGTTCTGGGCGCACCCTATATAACATTTTAATTTAAAAATAATCAAACAATTCTGAAACCTGTTTGGGCAAAAATGGTCGAGTGTTATACTCACATACGAAGTTCCGCGAAAAAATGACTTGAATGTTCTTACGGGCGGAAAAAACCAAAGTACAACTTACAAAAACTTGAATGAGAACTTTTCAGAGAACCGGTTTTGTCTTTTTTTTCGCACAGAAGATCACATAAGTCTTTCTTTGCGAAACTTTACGCGTGAGTGTAACACTATACCGTAATTGTCACAAAAAAGTTTCAGAACTGTTAGATCCTTTTTAAAATTTATTTTTAACCAGGTCCGGTCTAGACCCATGTTCATTTGGGTACTTTTGGATTTCAACCAGTCTAGTTTGATTTGAGAATTCGTAAACAAATAATTGATTTGGGATGAGTGCACTACATGTATGTATGTATGTATGTATGTATGTGTATCGTGATTATTGAAAGCCAAAACTGAGCATAGGAGATGAACGTATACATGAGAGGTGCAGGGCATAGTGACACAGTAAGGACAAGCTTGGTGGCCAAATACATTGGATGGGAAGGAGAGGTCAAATACATGGGACACACACGGCACTTAGGGGACATGGTGGTTATCTTATCACACATGCATACATGCCTGGGATCTTCCTCTTGGCACTTTTCCTCCACTTTTGGTCTATGTTTTGCCAGATTTATTCCCTTGATGAATATTATCTGCATCTGTATGATCCCAGTGATTTGGCTCCATAAAGTGCCCTGATTCCATCCCATTTAATTTAATTTGATCTCAGAGAAAAATAATCTTTGTATTAGTAGGTTCTTGCCCTACGTGATGCATTGTAGCATGTGAGGCCCTCTTTTGAAAAAACATGAGGATATGAGACCCTGAGGTGCCAATGCAATGCATGACACGGAAAGGACAAGCTGGTGCAACATATGGGAAGGGACCAAATGCATGGGACACACACAGCACCACGGGACAGGGACACAGGGTGTGCAACTGTGCATTGCCTTGGGATCTTCCCCTTGTCTCGTTTCCTCCCGTTTTGGTTACACGCAAGTGGTTTCGATTCCCCTATAGATAGACAAATATTAGTACCAACATACATAAACCGTTGCACAACTGCCAAATGCTCGAGCTAACGGCCACAACCATCCAAAGAGCCGTAAACAATGATGCTCTAGGACCAGGAGTGCTTGTCTCCAAACTCAACGCCTAAACGTTATCATGTTCTTTTATATACATTTTGCGTAATACTTTTTACATGCCATTGCCTTTTGTCTTAGTGGGCTCACTGCTTAGGGCATGTATAATGGTGCTATCTTAGGAGTGCCGAGTAAATTGCAAAAAACCACCATAATTGGGTCGAAGTTTTCAATGCTTCAGGAAAAAACCACCAGAAAACATGCATTTTGGTGGGTGTTTGATTACATTTGCACAATTGTGGTGGTTTTTTGCAATTTACTCTAGGAGTGCCACGTAGGATAAATGATGAGGTGGAGAAGAGAGAACTCATAAGAAAAGGATTGTCTTCTCTTATTTAAGATAAGACAAGAGATGATCTCTTAGCACAATTTGTCTCACCATATTTTAAATAATGACTAGTTATTGAAGACAAGGCTAAGATATAATCCATTGTAGACATAATTTTTTGTCATCTCTAAATAACATGCAAGACTTAAGATAAGATTGTCTTATCAACCATTGTACATTGCCCTTACAGCTGTCAGATTAAGATTTTTCTCTTCCCTTTTTTGTCCCATGAAACACTGACCGAGGTGGAAGCTACGGTGAGATTCTACTCACTGCTACAAGTGCTTCCAGGATTAGCCTAAGTTTTTTTCGCCATGTTAAGCTATGTCTAACATTTATTCTCCCTTCATATAATGAAAGCAGCGCAGCTGCTCTTCGTCCAAAAAAAAAACTCTAAAGGACGGCTCCCATCGTCAGAACAAAAATGATATGTCCCACCAGTTTGAAGTTACAGGGGTGAATTTTATCATTGCGTATGGTGCATTTTACGGCGAGCAAACAGAGTGATGTTATTTTTTTTACTAATGAGGACATAGGTCTGGTGATTTTGTGGACTTAACACAAAATCTGGGGTGTCTTATTTGTGTTTCGTATATGGCGGTCCAGTGCATGGTGTTTTGGTGGATTTAGAATTTTTTTTGTCCACGATTTAAGCTAACAAATGTTATATCAAGATTTTTTCATCCTTTTTGCGCTTCCATGAAACCTTGACTGGAATGACTTGAGAATGGGTACTTCTCAGTCCTCCGACGATAGCAAAACCATTTTCATATGTGCTTTCTGGTTCGACCAACTTTAGCAATAAATAGCTTGAAGTGGTTCCTTGATCGAAAAGGAAATGCATATGTCCCTCTCCTAAAAAAAAATTGATGTCACACCAACATGGATGCTTTGTTCAAACATCATCATCGGAAGCTCGTGTTAGCATTTTCCATATATTCCATTCACGATGATTCACACATACACAACTTCCATTTATAGTAGTCTGGAACTGGCGGGAATCACTGACAAACCTATCAGTGGCGGAGCTTTAGTGCAGGCCAACATGACCATGACACTCCT